GGTTGAGGGTTGAGGGTTTAGGGTTTAGGGTTTAGGGTCGTTCCGGCAAACCTCACGCTCGGCCAGTGCTCAATGTGCTGCGACGCGCCATGGATGTTGACAGAAGCGCCAGACAGATAAGAAAGCTCTGCGGAGGTCTGCTGCTCTCGGCTGAACACTTCAACCCTCAAACCCCTAAACCCTGAAGCCCCTAAACCCTAAACCCTAAACCCTAAACCCTAAACCCTAAACCCGAAACAACCCTGTGACCTCCTAAACCCTCGAACTCAGCAAGCCAGGCGAGCCGACCACGATGGGCTCCAACTGCACCATCACACCGAAGTGGTCCGTGGGCCTGGCCCGTCGAACGCGGGGTTTGGGGTTTAGGGTTTAGGGTTTGGGGTTTAGGGTTTAGGGTTTAGGGGTTTAGGGTTTAGGGTTTGGGGTTTAGGGTTTAGGGTTTAGGGTTTAGGGTTTAGGGTTTAGGGTTTAGGGTTTAGGGTTAGGGGTTTAGGGTTTGGGGTTCAACATGGCAAAGTCCACGCGTTTAGGTTTGAGAGGTATCCAGGGAAGGGGTTTGCGTGGCCAGCTGTCTGCTGCCGCTGCTGACACATACTGCTCCCAAGCCTGAACCTCAAACTATATGAACTAGACAGAAGGGCTTAAGGTTTAGGGTTTAGGGGTTTTGGGGCTTTTAGTGTTTAGGGCTTCTAAGACCCAAATCTAACCTAGGAATGAAACAAGTGCCCTTTTGGTTTAAAGGGCTGATAAAGAAACCTAAACCCTAAGACAACAGGGAACTAAGGGCCTGCTGTGGGTCCTAGTAGCCCTAAACCCTAAACCCTAAACCCTAAACCCTAAACCCTAAACCCTAAACCCTAAACCCTAAACCCCTAAACCCTAAACAGGGCTTTAAGGGCCTACTCTGTGTCCCTAGTAAACCCCTGTGCGCCGGAAAAAGCAGCCAATCTCCGGTCGAAGCGAGGCTTTGCAGGGGTTTAGGGTTTAGGGTTTAGGGTTTAGGGTTTAGGGTTTAGGGTTTAGGGTTTAGGGTTTAGGGTTTAGGGTTTAGGGTTTAGGGTTTAGGGTTTAGGGCATAAAGGGTTTAAAGGGTTTAGGGTTTCGAGTTTCGGGTTTGCGGTTTAGGGTTCAGGGCTAAGGTTTCGGGGTTTAGGGACAAGACTTCAGCACCCCACCCTCAACCTCTTCCCGAGCCCGCCTTGTGGCCTTCCGAGACACTGGGAAGGCCTCTGTATGGGGGAGAGCATTCCATTGCTTAGTTGGGCAGGGAGGGTTTAGGGTTTAGGGTTTAGGGTTAGGGTTTAGGGTTTAGGGTTAGGGGTTTAGGGGTTTAGGGGTTTAGGGGTTTCGGGGTTTAGGGGTTTAGGGGTTTAGGGGTTTAGGGGTTTAGGGGTTTAGGGGTTTAGGGGTTTAGGGGTTTAGGGGTTTAGGGGTTTAGGGTTTAGTCGGGGGTGTTTTTGTGACGTTCTGGGGGGTATTTGGGGCGATTCCAAGGTTCAGCACCTTGCTCCTCTTGGCCTATGCACGACGGCCGGACCCCCTTTCGGTTAAGGGCAGAGTGGCTGTCCAAAGGCTTAGGGGAAGCTGACATTCGCACTCTCAAGGGTTCACCCTTAAACCCTAAACAAAACCCTAAACCCTAAACCCTAAGCCCTAAACCCTAAACCCTAAGCCCTAAACCCGAAACCCTAAACCCTAAACCCCAATGCAAGTGGCCCTCCATCGCGCCTCGTGCACAAAGGTGATCTGCACGCGCATCGGGTGCAGCAGGTCTTAGAGCGGGCGTGGCTTCGGGGCTAAGGGGGCGGGAAGATGCTCTAGGGGTAGGTTTAGGGTTTAGGGGTTTAGGGGTTTAGGGGTTTAGGGGTTTAGGGGTTTAGGGGTTTAGGGGTTTAGGGGTTTAGGGGTTTAGGGGTTTAGGGTTTAGGGTCTAGGGTTTAGAGAGATAAACCTTCAGTAACTTCTTGAACTTCGGAGGCATTCGTCAAGATCGTAGGAACCTATCAAAGCTGAACGGGTCGATGGCGACTCTATGTGGCGAGAGGTACAGGCTTATCTTGGTAGTTGATCAAAATACCCGTTTGCAAAAAAAAAAACACCCCAATAGGAACCCGAAATGATTTTCCAAGAAGGACCCTTAGCTCAACCGGCTAGGTACCTAGGATGGCCCTTAAGACTGTCTGAAAATCTTCCTAAAAATGCGGAGGGAGCTTCGAGCTTGCGCTCCGGGTTTCGGGGTTCTAGGGTTGAGGGTATAGGGTTGGGATGTTCGCCCTTATACTAACAGTCCTCAGTAAGGATTCTACGAGGGGGGTACTATAATCCCCATGTAGGATTGTCAGAGGAAGGGGGAACATCCCAAGCTTAAGGGTACAGGGTACAGGGTTTATGGGAAGGAGCTGCACCTGGAGAACCTTAGAGCGGCAACCGCTGAGGACTGCGCTGGAAAGAGTCCTGCGCTGTCGAGAGAGTGTCGTGTCGGAGTGTCGTTCCATTCAGGCTCGCCAACCCTCAACCCGGAACTTCAGAAAACTCAACCCGAAACCCTGAATCTTGAACCCAACGAGCCAAACCCTAAACCCTGCCCTACACGTGCCACCCTTACCCCCTAACCCCCCTACCACCTACCACCCCCTACCCCCTACCACCGGAACCCTATTACACTATTGGGCAGAGTCTTTGGACTCTTCAGAAGCCACTTGAAATCATCTAGGCATGCTGGAAGCATGTCTAACAGCAGAATGGAATCTGGCAGTTCAGGATTTCGGGTTTAGGGTATTAAAGGGTCTATGGGCCTAAGGGTTTATGGGTCTAAGAGTCTAAGGGTTTGAAGCCCTTAATGGTTTAAGGGTTTAGAGCATAGGGTGGCAACATTGCTGCTTTCACCAAGCTGAGGAGATCCCAAGCTTTGCGAGATCGTGCCAGCCGATGTGGCTTTTACTACGCGGGCCTTTCTGCTCTCCCCAGCAGGTCAGAATAAACCCTAAACCCTAAACCCTAAACCCGAAACCCTAAACCCTAAACCCTAAACCCGAAACCCTACAGGTCAGAAGATGGAACTCAGAATCCTTCGCATTGACTTCGTGCAGCTGGTGTGGCTTAGGGCTTCTTCGTAGCCCAGTAACCATATTATAATATTATAATGAGGGCACCTTTTTTGGGTTGGTTACTTTATTGGTTGGTTAATTTAGAAGGGGACCCACAACCCACAAGAAGGGACAAGGGTTACCACTGGGCTACGAAGGCTTGCAACGGCTTACGGGTTGAAGGGGTGGGGGTCCAAACGCGTCAATGTATCCTGCACACAAGTCATTAACCCTCGAACTTCCACTGCAGTATCTTCTTGCCCTATGGATTTTAGTCAAACCACATTGGGATTCGGGTCTAAGGTTTAGGGCTTTGTGTTGAAACAACGTGTACAGTGTAGAGTGTTCGAAGCACCTTGTCTTGCGGTTGGCAGTGCAGCTGCATCCTAAACATAAGGATCCGAGCTGCAATAGTAACCCCAATAGGGGACCCGAATTTGGAGACTCCCTAATCTCTAAACCCTAAACCCTAAACCCTACACCCTAAACCCTAAACCCTAAACCCTAAACCCTAAACCCTAAACCCTAAACCCTAAACCTGAACCGTAATCCATCTGAGAATCGAGCCACCGCTAAGGTGCGCTGGGACCCTCCAGAAAGACCAATTTGCAACTCAGGGAAGCTTTGTCCCCAGTAAGCGCACAACATAAAAGGCCCGTGGCACAAGTGAGCATCCCTCTCCCGTACTAAACCTAGAAAGCCCGAAACCCTAAACCCTAAACCCTCAACCCTAAACCCTAAACCCTCAGTTTCGCACACTTCCAGGGGCCCTTCAGGCGAAGACATTCTGCGAAGCAGCAGGGGACGCTGCCGGCCTGCCGTTCAGCCTAGGCTCCCGGGCCCGCCAACCGAGTTTAAGGGTAGCCTTGACAGGGCCGAACATATACAATATATATATATACATATGAATCTAGATACATATCGTGTAAGAACACACAGTCTGTGTGTGTGTGTACTTGCACATATACATATCTACACTACATAAAGGCATATGTATATCTCGGTAGGTTTAGGTGTCTAGGTATGTGTGGTATGTCTATGTCTATGCACATGCCTCGCTGTTGCTTGAGGGGAGCAGCTCGTGCCTCAGAGGGCTGCCCCTTAAACCCTAAGCCAATACACCCTGAACCCTAAACCCTGAACCCCTAAACCCTAAACCCTAAACCCTAAACCCTAAACCCTAAACCCTAAACCCTAAACCCTAAACCCTAAACCCTAAACCCTAAACCCTAACCCTAAACCCTAAACCCCTGAACCCCATACCCTAAACCCTAAACACCTAAACCCTGAACTTATCTCCCCCCGAGAAGTGGAAGGCTCGGCTTAGACTGGGGGTCCATACATAGGCCCGACCGAGAGCCTCTGCTGATATGGGCAAGCAGCTGTGGGGGCCAAAAGGAAATAAGGGTTTAGGGTTTAGGGTTTAAGGTTTAGGGTTTAGGGTCACTTCGAAACATCTGCCATGCCCCTGAAGTGCACTTAACTTACCAATGGCCGCACCGCGCGTCCGCGGAGATGCGTTGCGTCGGTTTGGCCCCCAAAGCTCAAACGTTACACATTTTAAGGGGCATAAGGAGGAGGGACCCGTAGAAGGGACCCTTAATCTTATTCCACCTGAAATAGTCCCTATATACCTGAGTAGGGTCCCTCCTTTCTTCCCTTGAACATTGAAGATTAGGTCGAGGGGTCGAAGCAAGCTGACTTCGCCAGCCTGTTCACCACCTTCCGCGGCTCCGTGCCATAGTTCTACCCACAGGATTGCCAAAAAAAAGGACAATCATCATCATCCAGCCAACATACGCTAACAAGAATAGGACAATTTCCCACACCATAACAACATTAGCAAAAATACCCCTAAACCCTGAACCCTAAACCCTAAACTCAAATGAAGTGGGAGGATAATTTCAGCCTTCTTCAGCGCTCAGAAGTCTCGGAACTGGCGCTCGAGCTGTCTTGCCGGCTTCGGAGCAAGTCGTTAATCTCTCCAAGGGAGGGCATCACCTCCGAAGAGGGTTTAGGTTTAGGGTTTACGGTTTTGGGGTTTGGGGTTTGATCTCACCATTCGGCTGCTCTGGGCTAGTGCCAAAACTGCCCAGCTCCTACTTCTGAGGGCGGCGCGAACTGACACAAGACCAAGATGCAAACAGATCCGCTTGGCAGGACCCTGTATACAACCCGGCTCGCCTATACAAGCATGCATATACCCTCCCGTCTTTCGAGGGCGGTGCGATGACAAAAGCACACACAGGGATTGCAACACGCGACAAGACATGCTCGTAGGCATCCCCTGGCATAAGCAAGCGCGTGCGTGTGCGCCCTTGCGGAACTCTGCAAAGCAGCTCCTCCCCAACTTCTGAGGGTGGCGCGAAAACTACCCAACACGATGGGGGTGTAACAGTGCAGGCATGTGCAGAGACAATGGAGCGCAATCAGTTGGACTCCACATAGGGAGGAAAGGCCCACCACCAACCATTGGGTTTGCACAGCTGCATCATGCGGCTGGCAACTCGCAACGGCGCCTAAGGGCGGCGCGAGCCCGGAAGCTTCGCACCACGACGCTCAGCTCCTGCAGCAGGGAGGCATGGACTGGCGCCGCATCCTCGCCAGATCGCGTGGCCACCGCTCCAGCCAACTGCTTCAGGAGGGCGCTTGCCTGGCGCTCCCAATGGCCGGTCGTTTCAACCACCATGGGGCGGAAAGTGATGCCCTGGGCCGCGCAGGCCGCTGCGGTGCCCAAGTGTGCTTCCTTGTGCCTCGCGTAATCTGCTGCCGCCGCCCCAGCCTCCTTGCCGGCCTGGGCCAAGGTCTCCTGCCGCTGCGGTGCTGTAACAGCGAAGTCAAGTGCAGCAGGGGACCCGGCCCAGGAGGGCAAGTAGACGTCAGCAGGGCGACGCCTCGCAGATGAGGCATCTTCAGAGGCATGCGGCGGCAGCAGCCCGGCCCGCTCCTTTTCCGGGGCGAGGCCAGCCCGCACTGCCCAGTCAAAGACCACATCACGGACAGCGTTGTGTCGCAAGGTGCGCTCGCCCCCGGCAACACAAACTGCCGCGTGATGAGACAGCTTGTCCAGTACCGCGTCGCACTTCGGACACCAAGTGTCTTCCGAGGCGTCGGGCATCCCGAGGCGGAAGCGCAGCTCCTGGACAAACACTGCCGGCTCCATGGTGATCTCACCAAGGGAGGGCATCACCTCCTAAGAGGGTTTAGGGTTTAGGGTTTAGGGTTTAGGGTTTAGGGTTTAGGGTTTAGGGTTTAGGGTTTAGGGTTTAGGGTTTGGGGGTTATATAGGGTTTGATCTCACCAAGGGAGGGCATCACCTCCGAAGAGGGATTAGGGTTTAGGGCTTCGGGTTTAGGGTCTACGGTTAGGGTTTAGGGTTTAATCTCACCAAGGCAGGGCATGACCTCGGGTTTTGCGGCTTAGGGTTTTAGAAGTTTTAGGGCTTAGGGCTTGGGGTTTGGGGTTTCGGGGTTACACAGCACAATCCCAAAATGCCTTCTCTTTGAAGATGCCGCCACCAGCCTTCACAATGAGCCTCATCCACCTCCACAGGTTCATGCTGCTCGGGGTTTAGGGTTTAGGGCTAGGGTTTAGGGTTTAGGGCTTAGGGCTGAGGGCTGAGGGCTTAGGGTTTAGGGTTTAGGGTTCAGGGCATGCACCCCGGCCCTAAACCTCCCTACACCTCCGGGGGCAGACCCTAAACCCTAAACCCGAAACCCTAAACCCTAAACCCGAAACCCTAAACCCTAAACACAGGCCAAAGCGCCTCAGATCCTCCACCGTCGGCCGATCGTCGTCTGTGTCAACCAGACGCTTGGCTTCCGCCTCCTAAGGGACCCCAAAGCCAGGGGCCAAACCGGATTTGGGGCATGTCGTGGGATTTCGGGTTTAGGGTTTAGGTCTACGTAGGGTTTAGGGTTTAGGGTTTTAGGGTTTAGGGTTTAGGGTTAGGGTTTAGGGTTTAGGGTTTAGGGTTCAGGGTTCAGGGTTCAGGGTTCAGGGTTCAGGGTTCAGGGTTTAGGGTTTAGGGTTTAGGGTTTAGGGTTTAGGGTTTAGGGTTTAGGGGTTTTAGGGTTTAGGGTTTAGGGTTTAGGGTTTAGGGTTTAGGGTTTAGGGTTTAGGGTTTAGGGTTTAGGGTTTAGGGTTTAGGTTTAGGGTTTAGGGTTTAGGGTTTAGGGTTTAGGGTTTAGGGTTTAGGGTTTAGGGTTTAGGGTTTAGGGTTTAGGGTTTAGGGTTTAGGGTTTAGGGTTTAGGGTTTAGGGTTTAGGGTTTAGGGTTTAGGCCGCACCTTCCTGCAAGCGTGTTCACAACACACGCGCTCATGTGGCCATGTCGCATCTTCGGGAGCTACTTCAGGCCGAAGAAGCTGCACATTAAGCCGCATACACCCTGTACATCCAAAAAACCCATAAACCCTATATCTCCTATAAAACCCTATAAACCTTGTAAAGCCGATGGCTATGAACCCTGCAAATGCCTTCTAAAAACTACCCTTCCGCGTGGATTCCCGTAGCAATAACGTGCAGTCCAAAGGGGCCGAAACGCACCCCAAAATTGGGGTCGGTCAAGCATTTACCCGCTGTAGGCTTAGGGTTTAGGGTTTAAGGTTTAGGGCGGATCATAGGGTTTAGGGTTTAGGACTTACAGGGATCATCGGCCCTATACTACTCTGATCCCGAGTTTAAGGCATAAGGTCAACGATGGTCAACGAACCTTCTTCAAGCTCATTGTAGTCCCCAAGAGACGTTGTTTAGGGTTTAGGGTTGAGGGTTTAGGGTTGAGGGTTTAGGAGTTAGGGTTTGTCTCTTCTTTTCACCGCGTGCGCGGACGAACGCTGGAGCGCTCTGGCCCCTTTGTCTGGGCGACTTCGAAGAAGCGGCGCTTGAGGCGGCAGAGCCTCCAAAATCAGGGATTGGGCTCAGGGCTTTAGGGCTGAGGGCTTAGGGCTTAGGGCTTAGGGCTTAGGGCTGAGGGTTTAGGGTTTAGGGTTTAGGGTTTAGGGTTTAGGGTCCTGTAGGGATTCGGCTGTCGGGGGTTTATAGGGTTTTGGTGGTGTAGGGCTTCGGCTGTTTTGGGTTAGGGTTTGGATCCTCCAGAAATCTTTAGAAGCCCTATCAGCGTGTGGCTGATAAGAATTCTTAGGGGTTAGGTACCGTTGACACAGCGCAGGCATACCGGTCTGGCACAAAGACCTTGCGTGCAGAGCCCGGACCACTTGTTCCTTGCCAAGCGCCCCCCCCCCCTGTAAACTCCTACACTGTTAAACGCCCCACTCAACCAACCCCAAAGTAAACCCAAATTGCACCCCCAATTTAGACGCCATTTCATGGCTGGGATAACATTACAGCAACACCTTGAATGTCTATTCCTTATTGAGTTTAAGTACCCTAAAAAAATGTAAAATGCTACCCCACTATGACAAAGAACCCCCCCCTAAACCCTAAACCCTAAACCCTAAACCCCCCCCGCGTTGCCTCCGCACGTCCCGCAGTTGATCCGCAATCGATGCAGAGTCGCCACCGTAACGGGCGTCGCCCCAGGTCACCTGAGTTGGGTTTAGGGTTTAGGGTTTAGGGTTTCGGGTTTAGGGTTTAGGGTTTAGAGTTTAGGGTTTAGGGTTTAGGGTTTAGGGTTTAGGGTTTAGGGCTTAGGGTTTAGGGTTGGTTTCGAGTTGGGTGCAACGCAGATAAGCCGTTTCAGCCAAAGCCCTTGAAATTTCTTGCCTACAAGCTCTGTAAACACCAACATGAACAATATAAACCCTACCACCCTGCAAACTCTAACACAACCTATATCAACCCGATTCAAACGCTCCGTAAACCCTACGTAAGCCCCATGAACTCTGCAAACTCCTCTATAAACCCTCCTTATCAACCCTATGAACCCTATGTAAACCCTTCCATAGAAATCCTTCAGAACCCCTAACCCCTACACCCTAAACCCCAAACCCTGAACCCCAAACCCCAGACCCCAAACCCCGAAACCCGAAACCCTAAACCCTAAACCCTAAACCCTAAACCCTAAACCCCCTGTAGGCGCCGGGTCTCCACCGAGCCATCCACCCGAAGCGCGGCGAAGGCAGCACAAGAGGCTGAGAGATCGCAGACCTCCGAGCTTCCAGCTACCATAGGGGAGGGTTTAGGGTTTAGGGTTTAGGGTTTAGGGTTTAGGGTTTAGGGTTTAGGGTTTAGGGTTTAGGGTTTAGGGTTTAGGGTTTATGGTTTGGGGTTTCGGGTTTAGGGTTTGGAGTGTACAAAGGGCTCCGGGTTTGGGATTTCGTGGCAGTGTATACTGTGCTTCGATGGGGGATTTACGTGGAAATTGCATCAGCAACCAGTAGGGCCTGTACATGCGAACGACCCTCAATGACCCTAAGAACCCGCGTAACCTGGGGGACTTGAAGGTTAACCTTTGGGATTCTAAGTGGATTACCCTAAACCCTGAACCCTGAACCCTGAACCCTGAACCCTGAACCCTAAACCCTAAACCCTAAACCCTAAACCCTAAACCCTAAACCCTAAACCCTAAACCCTAAACCCTAAACCCTGAACCCTGAACCCTGAACCCTCAACCCTGAACCCTGAACCCTAAACCCTAAACCCTAAACCCTACTCTACTACTAGGAAGGAGCAATGGCCTCGGTCAGCTGATGGTGCAGGGCTTTGCCTTGTCGGCACACATGGTGCAGGGAAGAATCTGGCTCTTTGCAAGATGAAAAGGGTTTAGGGTTTAGGTTTAGGGTGTAGGGTTTAGGGTTTGGGGTTTAGGGTTTAATGTTGCACCCGCAATATTCTAGGGGGCCGCTATTATGAAGAGTTTTTCGGCTATTCAGGATCTGGACCCTTTGTTTTGGAGGTCCGCTATAATGAAAAGTTTTCGGGCCGTGACTGTTTTTTGAGGGTGTCAGGAAGGCATAAGCTTCTCGAGAAGGAGAGATACTTGAAGCCTGAAGCCTCGACCTGTCCAGGATCTCCGACAATCTTCTTTTTTCAGGGCGCCTTTTCTTTATAAATTCCTTACTTAAAACTAGATGATTCCATAGGCGAATCATATCCGGAAAGGGGGTACCTTGCGGAGGCCTCCGGACACACTTTAATACCTTTGTTTGGGGGCCCGCTATAATGCAAGTCTCCCGGGGCCAGGGGCTCAGTCCTTCGGTTTTCAGGAAGGCATAAGCTTTCTCGAGAAGGAGGGATACTTGAAGCCTGAAGCCTCGACCTTTCCAGGGTCGGGGGGTAGCTTAGGGAGGCCTCCGGGCTCCGGACCCCTCCCCTGCCTGACTGTTTGGGGTCTTTTTTTATTCAGGGTCAGGGGGGGGGGGGTAACTTATTAAAGCAGGTCCAACATTAGGGTTTAGGGTTTAGTTTCTTGGGTTTAGGGATTAGGTTCAGGGTAGTTTGGAGTTTAGGGGTTTGCGGTCTAGGGTATTGGGGATGTTGGGGTTTGTACTTTCCGTGTCGTCAGAGGTATCAGATTGCACCCCCCCCCCCCCCGCCCCCCCCCCCCCCCCCCCCCTACCCCCCTACCCTTACTCCCACGCCCCCCCCCCCCCCCCCACCCTCTTTTCCCAATACCTACCGCCCTGACCAACCTCTTCTATGCAGTATTGGATACATGACACCAAGGGTGTCCTCAAGGTAGGGCTTAGGGTTTCGGGAACTTACACTTTGGGTACCGAAGGCCCTCAAAAAGAAGGACCATGGCCAGTTCATGCTTGGGATAGTATTCAAATTGAAGGATTCCCATTCCTTGCTGGAAAAAAGTACCCTTAAAGATGTGAAATGTTACCCCAAACCCTAAACCCTAAACCCTAAACCCTAAAACCCAAAACCCTAAACCCGAAACCCTAAACCCTAAGCCCTAAGAGAACTAACAGAGCGAACCAGTTGCTGTCACCACCGTAGCGGACGTCTCCCCAGGTCACAGCGCGCCCGTCCTCGCGAGTGGAGCCTAGCTCTCCGAAGGCCACGCCCTCGGGCCACCCCCAAAACACTATACCCCCCTACCCCAAAACCCCTAAACCCGAAACCCTAAACCCGAAACCCTAAACCCGAAACCCTAAACCCGAAACCCTAAACCCCTAAACCCTAACTAAACCCGAACCCCGAAACCCTAAACTCAACACCGGAGAGACCACGGCGAGGTCCTCCAGAAGTGCCGCAAAGGCAAAGCGAGACGCCACCACGCGCTGAACGCCACGGAGCTGCCTCGCAGGGTTGAAGGTGTAGGGTGGTTTAGGGGTGTAGGGGTTTAGGGGTTTAGGGGTTTAGGGGTTTAGGGGTTCAGGGGTTCAGGGGTTTAGGGGTTTAGGGGTTCAGGGGTTTAGGGTTTTAGGGGTTTAGGGTTTTAGGGGTTTAGGGGTTTAGGGTTTTAGGGGTTTAGGGGTTTGGGGTTTTAGGGTTTTAGGGTTTTAGGGTTTAGGGTTTAGGGTTAAGGGGTTTAGGGGTTTAGGGTTTATAGGGTTTATAGGGTTTATAGGGTTTATAGGGTTTATAGGGTTTATAGGGTTTATAGGGTTTACAGGGTTTATAGGGTTTCGAGTTGGTAGGGGTTGCAGGATGTTGGGTTTAGGGTTCAGGGCCTAGGGTCTAGGGTTTAGAGTTTAGGGCTGAAGCCCAAGAGGCCCCCCAACCCTAAACCCTAAACCGTGAACCCTAAACCCTAAACCCCAAACCCTAAACCCTAAACCCTAAACCGTGAACCCTAAACCCTAAACCCTAAACCCTAAACCCTAAACCCTAAACCCTTTCGCCGCTTCGCCTCGCCCCACTCCAGACTCTTCGGCCCCAGAGCACCACGCGGCCATCGCGGCGAACGGCCGCAAAGAC